TAGAAAGCAAGTCTTGTGAGTGGTGTCAAAGTGAGTGTATTTACCTATTTGCTGAGAGAAGCAAAGTGTATACTAGCACAGCATTGATTGCAGTTGTGATGATTTGACATTAACTTTCCTCACCTGCTTTTTTGTGTGTAAAAGCCAGCCACACAATATGGAGTCTTTTGTACATTTTTAAGTCTTAGAAGAACTGGATGTTATTTCCTTAAATGGGACAGAGGTAATACCTTTTCTTTTCTTTTCTTTGGATTTTAGATCCTTTATCTGCAATATGCACTGAAGTCCTTTACCTTCTATACATACATAAGTTTGTTGCAATCCTTTTGTCACTGACATGATACACAGGGCATGTGGGGGATTAGGTGTACGGCACAGCAGCACCAAGCCAGTGAAAGGAACTTATCTGATAGTTTACTTTTCATTTACTGAATAATGATGGAAGAGAAGAAGAAAGACTACCTGCTAGCCATCAGGTTCCATTCTGTACATCAAGTATTGAACATAACACCGTAGACTTAGTCATTTTCCATTGCCAGGGCATGTAGGATGTTTTGCTGGGAGAGAGGATGCTCAGATCTAAAGCTAGCCCTTACATTAATTCACAAGGATGATGGTGCGGTTTTTGAAAACATTTGCCAAATCTAAAACAGTGCTTTTACGTGGGTTGACTAAATCAGAATATTCGTTTCTACAAAGCTAGAGGACAAATCAGTTTCTACAGCCTGCTTTCCTTTGGAGTGCGGCAGGAATTCCACAGCTCTTGGGACTCTGTGTGTGGCAAAAGAACTTTCATGGCTCTGTGAAGGGGACATACCTGAATGATGTACAGGCAGAAACTCTTCGTTTGGGATATGGGGGAACACAAAAGTAAACCAAGTAAGTCCCTCTTCCCAGTGTGGGGGAGAAGAGGAAAAGTACTTTACTTTGGGCAGAATGGGAGCATTTTCTGAAGCTGAACAGTTTTCTGTTCCTCTCCTTGCCCATCTGCCCTGAATTTCACTGAGCTCTCTTTCCCTTTCTACCCATCTCCCCCTTTCTCCAAATTCTTTCCTGGTGAACTCATTTATAAAGAAGAGTGATGGAAGGGAAGCTTGTTTATTTTCTTTATTTCTTAACATTTTGTAATATCCTAGTCTCCTGATTGGGTCCTCATACAGACTGCATATTTTGGTCTCATAAAGATTAGCGACTTCCAGACTTGGCCTACCTGAAAAGCTGTGGACTCTTGCCATGAGCAAGTTTTTAAGCGAAACAGTGCAAAATAAAAGCTGCCCACCAACATCTTCTTTTAGCAGCTGCCTGGGAATACTTTGCCCCTAGCCTTAGAATACTTTGCGAAGAGGCTTGTACAGTTCCTATGAAGTTGTTGCTCTCCAAGTAAGAAGTCCTGAAACAAACTGTCAGAAAAAATTGAAAAAAAATGTTAGACTGGCTTGCTGCTGTGTGAACCCCCTTCTCCCTAGTGTGTTCTTGGAGGGAGAAACTTAATAAAATTATTTTTAGAAAAAAGAAAAAATGGGTATTCGATTTCCCACAAATAAAAACCCAAATGTACAATGTACCAGTAAATCTCAATCTGCCTCCTGCCCATCACTTTTATGAAATTCAGCCACATTAATGTGCTTGGTAGTGACCGAGTTTGTGTTTTTTTTGGGGGGGGGGTGGCCTTGAAAGGTAGCTTCATATCTCCCATGGCATCTGTAGTATGGCTTCGGGTGGTGGTTTTGCCTATTGTTGAGCACCTTATTTGTAACTGTGTGAAATACATAAATCAGGTGCATTTTGAAAATTGAGACTTCACACCAAATTGAAAAAAAAGAAGGACCTTGTAGTGGTCATCTAAATTCTGAAGATTTGGAAATACCACAGGTGTCCAAATAAATGCCACCTTTTGAAGTAACCGTTTAATGCAATTTTGCAATGCAAATGTAGTCTTACTGATACGAATCATTTCTATATTTTGTAGTAATTTTTTAAAACCCGTTTTGTGTTCAGGAAAATGGATTAGCACAATGCAAAAGTTGTAACATAATAAAAACAGAATTTTAATGTGGCTGCATGACTTATGGAAGTCATCATTTTATCAGTATTTGACCTGAAAGAACTTAAGAAACTACTTTTTTAAAAATACACTACACTACAT